TCAGCCATGCGTCGGCCACAGGCCGTCGGCCAAAGAAATCACTCTGATCGCTTCCGCCTCTTGAGAGACTGTTGCTTGAGAATGTCTTCCACAAGCAACACTCCAATGGCTGATAGCTCCAGTACCACACGAAACATGTTTTCGATGGACGAGAGTGAAAATGGAACGCACACTCTATTTGTTGTTTGTTTATATCACGTAGTCTGTTCTTCTTCTCTATCTTCCGGTTGTTGCCTCTTTTGAATGACGAATACACACTACCGCCGCCTGCTGGTAAGGAGAGTTATTGCCACTCACGCATGCGCAGTTCGTACGTGCTCGGCTGAAGTCTTTGCGGTGTGTTCCAGTGCGACACATGGCCAAGACGCAGGAGAACACGCCGACGCAACAGTCGGCGAGTTCTCTGGTGACTGCTTGGTATGTCAGGGCCTTTAGAGGCCAGGGCAATATGCAAGTGACAACAACGTTTCACACCTTTCTGTTGAGGAGTGTACTGACACACACACACACACACACACACACACACACACACACACACACACACACACACACACACACACACACACACACACACACACACACACACACCTGATTTATTAACAGATTTGTGATGAAGTCAAGCACATCATCCTAATGCTTCCTTCTTTTAAATTATACCTAACTCCTGCTCCTCCTTTTTTATCTGTACTTTTTTCTCTCACACCATTTATCTCTGCTACTCATTTCAAATACTGCCAAGATAGGAGCCCGGACTGATTCTGGGCTTGTTATCGCAACACACAGAGAGAGAGAGAAAGGGACACAGGGAGCAAGTTGCACCCTGGAGACTCGACCTATACAAGTGGGTACTGCATACAGCATTCAAACAACAGCGATGGGTTTGAATCCTTTCGTTGAAGCCGTCAAATTATCCCCCTCTCTCACTTCTATGCGTCTTCTGTCTGAATGACTGACTGATGCTAATGTTGTTTACCAAGTCGGGGAAATCGTTATCAATTGAATGAGCACAGTCCATCAGAGAGGCGCTATATCAGACGTGATGCATTTTTGTAACACAGAAAAAAAATTCTCCAGAAATTCAAACAGAGGATAAAGAAATCCTTCGTAATCCTGTTTATTATCCTGATAACATGCACAGCAATGCATCCTCCACCCCCGCACACTCTCCTACTCTGCTGCGGTCAGAACTTATTACAATTTAAATTATGTCTGCTCAGTCAAGCTTGCATAGGGAGAGCAGTAAACAACACATTAAGTCAATAAGATAATGAGAAAAAGAATACAAAATCTGCTGATGCAGTTTAAAAAAACACAATATCACTTTCTTTGAGCGCATATAGGTTGTTCTATTACTGCAGACAAATAAAGGCTCCACTGTACATTTGTGCTTTTTATAACAAACAAGAATCCCTCCCCCCGCCTGAAACCTTTGTTTATTCCGGAACATAGTGATATCACGATGTAACACTCGCGCTGCTATTGGCTAGAGCTCCAACACATTGTACGTGATAGGCTAAGGGGCGGGACATCTCTAAGCAGTTGACCAATCACAACATAGCCGGCCAGCTAACCAATCAGAGCAGACTGGGCTATGGTTTCAGACAGAGGGTGAAAAGAGGTGCTGCAGCACAGGCAGTATGAGAACAATAAAGACCTTTTTGAACATTAAAGCATGGAGACATGTCCCAGTAGAGAAACAAAGTACAAATATTAACCTGAAAATGAGCATAATATGTCCTCTTTCATATATTTCTCAATCATTATGACAAGAATAAGGCAACAATTATGAATCCCTCCAACATAACAGACCAAATAATCTCAATACGCTATTTTTTCCACATCGTGCAGCCATATCCCTGTGTGTGTTATGTGCCTGTCATACTGTAAGAAGCAGATCCAATGAAGCTCACAACCACAGGTAAACACACTGAGAAGCAAACACATCCTTGCTCGTCATGTTTTCACCTAGAACTCAGTGCCAGAGCAGATGGTGTGTACAACCCTGAGTTCACTTCCTGAATCAAAAAGAAATGGAGAGAAAGAGCTAAAGAAAAGAAGAGAGGGATGGAGAAAGAAAGATAAGGAGGAGTGGAAACTGTCGATCTCACCACACACTGTCCATCCCGAAGAATTACTGTCAGCAGGAGACAATGCAGTACTGACTGATCCCCACACACACACACACACACACACACACACACACACACACACACACACACACACACACACACACACACACACACACACACACACACACACACACACACACACTGTTGTCTGATTTCACAGTGATCCGCTGAGCTTCAGAAGAAAGTAACGGTAACATATTTTACGTAAGATTCACGGCCCGAGGCCATGAGAGTCAAACACACACTAGTCAGCTGAGAACAACAGCGCTGAGGTCAAATCCGACTCAGACGCTCTGCCCACACTGCAGAGCTGTCTCACCAAGAGAGAGAGAGAGAGAGAGAGAGAGAGAGAGAGAGAGAGAGAGAGAGAGAGAGAGAGTTCAGAAAAAAATCAAGTGTTAGGTATGTGGGAGCAAAGCAGTAAAAACTCTACCATTCATGGCATTTGAACGCATCAGAGCTTGAGTAATTGTGAGCAAGAAACATTGTACTATGGCTAAGGGGCAGGACATCTCTAAGCGGTTGACCAATCGCATCAGAGCAGGCCAGCTAACCAATCAGAGCAGACCGGGCTCTGGTTTCAGACAGAGGGTGAAAAGAGGTTCATTTTTTACATTAAAGGTCCCATGTCATGGCCATTTCTACTGATCATAATTCCATTGTTGAGGTATACTAACATAGAGCTCCTGCCC